ACTGCAATAACCGAGGCTGTACTACTCATGTGGTACACACACAGCTTCGCTGTGTACGCACTGCTTCTCTGTGCAACTGTGCATCCTGGGAATGTACTGTATAGTACTACGTAGCCACAGATGTACAGTAGTATATATAGGGGACCTCTGTACCCCCAATCTACAGTTCAGTTCACTCGAACATCTCCTCTCATCGCTCTAACAAGCCTCTTACAACCAACAACCCTTCTAGGTGAGTTGCAGGCTATCCGCTGTCGTTGCCACCCGTGGGAGAGGCCTTCGCCCCCCCGGGTTCAACAACCCCTTCACCAGTAAGCTTTGTCTTTGTTTATCTGGTGGCACAGCTCGTTGGCTGTGACAATATCCGACGATTATACCAAACACCCTCTCGGTTAGAGCGATGTCGTTCACACCCCATGTGCATTCGATCCCAAAGTCGTCCACACATTAAGTATATCAAACTCCCCAGGGATCGTGACCGAGCTCTATAACGGTATCGCTTTCACACTACGTCCAGCCAAGACCGAGATCTTCGCCCCAGCTTCTTATAGGGAAGATTCAGACACGACGGTGTAACTGACAGCAATACGACAACATGAAGAGCGGAGATTGTTACAAAACACATACAGAACGATTCAAGAGCAAGTACAACTATCCACCCCTCAACTACGCCTTCCCGAACTTTTGCAGGTACTCCGCGGTGAGCCCACAGCGGGTACTGAGCACGCAAACGATGCTAAAGTGGAGGTAAGTCCCAACGTGCAGAGCATGAAGGAAAAACTGACTGGGGTTGCGCGTGGGGGGCGATTATCCCGTCTTCAGGCTGCCAATCCATGTGGACACGATGTGGAGAGGCTGGGACACAGAGACGCACCTGGTAGAGGGTAGCGCGACCGCTACCCATTGTCGCCGGCGCAACCACACGTCTCTCCCTCCCTTCCCCCTTCCTCACGTCAAACTCGAGAGCACGCAGACTCTGAAATGCGATCAGCTTTGGAAGTCGGGGAGTGAGCGTCGTACGCACCTTTTCGAAAGCACGCCAGGGCACCGCGACATGGGCCCGTCCACCGATACGGTAAACGTTGAAGAGCGGCTACGGTAACACAGGTAAGAGGCTGCTAAGGGTTGGAAATATGTGGATGTGACTCACCAGCAACTTCTTGGGGATAGACATGGTTGTGTGCGACGTTGAGTAGAGTGCGGGGTACGGTAAGGAACGAGAGCACTGTTCCGACGGGAACGGGAGGCACTACAGCTGCGGTGGGAAGATCATCTCACGTGGATGGGCGGGTGTTGCCGTTAAGCGCTCGTGTGTGAAGATCCATCTCCACATTCCCTACAGGGAGAACAAGCGCGGGAAACGGGCGCCCGTACCACGGTCACGTGGATTCCGGGTGATGGCCTCTTGCACCGCAAAGCGAAGCACGAGCGGTGGAAGGGGCGTCGAGCATGCGGAGAACAGTGCGCAGGCGCAATTGAACCCAAGTCGGTCCAAAGACACTGAATAACAGGATGTGGGTCACGCGCGGAATGGGAGACGAACCACGGGTTCGCAGGGTGGTAGACATAACACACGGAAGGGGACAAGGGCCACAGGGACTCGCGCCACACAAGTATAAGGCTCTCATCATTGCCATGAACTCCGCACAGCAGTACTAACGCTCTCCCGACGTTGAAGGGTAACTTGAACTGGATAAAGGAGGGGAGAGTTTCATTACACATCTACGAATCGACGAACGGTAGCGGCCTCGTCTACGTATGTAGGTCTACGACGACCCCTTGGCCAGGTTCTCCAGGTACTCCGCAGTTAGGCCACATCGCTGGCTGAGCTGGGAGACCACACTGCTGGATCGCTCAGTTCCGAAGGTTGGGAAGGTGATACCACACTTACTACGCCTGGCTGGGAGGTGCAATAATCCCGTTTTTGGGCTGACTCCATGATCAGTAGATGTGGAGCGTGTTTGCGATGAAAGGACGCACCTGCATCAAAGTCGTACAAGCCCCGCCAAGGTGGGAGGGAGCGACCACCCGACGCTTCAACCCCTTGCAGTTTTCGACTTCGAAATCCAGAGCCTGCAACGCCTACGAAGCAATGAAAACCCCAGAACATGCTACGTTGTGCGTATGTACCTGCTGCAGGTTGGACCAGCGTACGGGGATGCGCACACGATTTCCTATCTTGTACAAGGTAAGGAGGGTCTGTGGGTGCCAATCAACTAGACGCAGATCGCTAAAGAGGAGTAATTAACAGGCTTACCCATAGATGACGAGGGGCAATGAGAGGCGACATGGTGAACGTGGAGTAGATCTGAAGGTGAGTGGTCAGCCACGCATCAGACGGAGCTGTAGAGGGTGGGGCAATGCGTGGGGGGGAGGGAGATATATCCCACAGCGGGGAGCGGACGGGACGACGTGTGCCTGCGTGTGCACGATGACCGCGATGATAGCACACGTACTTGGGATGTGGGTACACATCCCAAGTACGTGTGCCTTCACCATGGTCGTCGCTTTGCCCCTTCAGTGAGCAGGGTGACATGCGGGGGCAAGCAGGCGACGTGGAGAGCCAGTGGGATGGGACTGCCACACCAACGGGCGAGCAGGCGGCGGGGAGAAGAAGCGGGAGAGAGGGGCAACGTCCCGGGGCGAGGGGGTGGCGAGCACAGGGCGAGCGAGGGGCCGGCGACTTGCGTAGCCTGCGCGCGACATCAAGATACCTAAAGAAGGGAGGGGCGACAAATGCAGGTAAGCGGGCGAGGGTGAGAGGTAGGGGGAGGCGGGGACGACGTACAGAAGGCAGCGGGGGACGGGGAGAGGCCCTTGCAGCACTTGCACCGGTGAGCGGGCAAGGGGCCGAGGCCGCGTGAGGGGGAGGTGACGGGCACGGGCAAGCAGGCGACGGAGAGACATGGGGAGGGTGGGCGACGTGCATGGGCGAGAGAGGGGTACAGGCGACGACGTGCGCGGGCGATGGGTGACGAAGGACACGGGCGATGGACAACGACGGACGCGGGCAACGGGCGACGACGGACGCGGGCAACGGGCGACGACGGGCGCGGGTACCGAGAGCTGTGGAGAGCGAGGGAGGATGTCCACCCGTGAGCGGGAGAGGTGGAGAGGTGGAGAGGTGGGGAGGGGGTGCGATGTTCACGGGCGAGCGGGCGATGTGCTCTCGGTACCCCTNTCTCGCCCGTGCACGTCGTCGCCCACCTCTCCACGTCTCCCGCTC